CTGCTACACCCTGGGGCTGTCATTCCACTCCGTGGCCTGTCATCCCAGTCCCAGAACACTCCTGCTACACCCTGGGGCTGTCAATACAAGAACTCGTGGGCACTCAATACAAGAACTCGTGGGCACTCCATGAAACTGCTGAGCAGTCGGGTTAGAACGGATAAAAGGAAGTACTTCTTCACCCAAAGAGTGATTAACACATGGAATTCACTGCCACAGGAAGTGGTGGTGGCCAGTATTCCCTCTAAGCCGAGTTAGTGTGAGCTAGCTCACAGTTTTTTAGCCTCCAGCTCACACATTTTTCTCTGAGTTCAGACAGGATGGCTCCAGAGCAAACCAATTTATGTAGGAGCCAAATGGCTCGCTCACAAATTTAATGTCAGTAGCTCACAAAGTGGAATTTTTGCTCACAAGACTCCGCAGCTTAGAGGGAACATTGGTGGTGGCTACAAGCATGGACGGCTTCAAAAGGGAATTAGATAAGCATATGGAGCAGAGGTCCATCAGTGGCTATTAGCCACAAGGTATATATAGGGGCTCTGTCTTCTTGGTGCTTGGGGGGGTCAACAGTGGGAGGGCTTCTAATGTCCTGGCCCCACTGGTGGACCTCCTGATGGCACTGGATGGGCCTTTGGCCTGATCCAACATTGGCGTCTCTTATGTTCTTATGTTCTTATTCCACTCTGTGGCCTGTCATCTCAGTCCCAGAACACTCCTGCTACACCCTGGGGCTGTCATTCCACTCTGTGGCCTGTCATCTCAGTCCCAGAACACTCCTGCTCCACCCTGGGGCTGTCATTCCACTCTGGGACCTGTCATTCCAGTCCCTGAACACTCCTGCTACACCCTGAGGCTGTTGTTCCACTGCCTGGTCTCTCATTCCAGTCCCAGAACACTTCTGTTACTCCCTGGGGCTGTCATGCCAGTGCGTGGGCTCTCATTCCATCCCCAGAGTAGTGTATTTGGGCCTTGAGGCCCTAATGGAAAATCTATTTCGCATTTTTATTGCAACTCTACTTGTACTGTAATGTATTTCAATGGAGCGCATGCAAATTAATTGGCATTCCTGGCTCCCATTTTTTCCAATGGGCCTTCAAGCATCTCCCATAGTTTCCAGTGGGCAATCCTGTCCTTCCTTTTAGTACATTCCCCACTCACTCGGAATTCAGATGCAGCGAGTGAATCGTCAGCATGTAGCTCTTTTATGTAGGAGCTTAAGTGAGGAGCTGTTCATTCATCGCGTCTGAAGAAAACCGTGCAGGACTTTCCTAGGCCGGCTTTCCTGGCTACTGCTAACTCAGACCACCATGTTAGCTCTGGCCATCCAGGGCACCAGGGGAGGATACCCCGGCAACCAAGGGAAACGGAAGGGTGGGCTAGCACAACAACCCAGGCAAGCCCAATACCCTCCACAGCAACAGTATCATAGAATGTTAGAGTTGGAAGGGACTTTGCAGGTCATCTAGTCCAACCCCCTGCACTCTGCAGGACCATAGCCGAAAGATAGCCCTACATACCTACAACATACAACATATAATTTCCACCCATTAGATCTAGTCTCGCAATCCGGAGCAGGAGAGAATAGATCTGCTCCATCTTCTACATGATAGCCCTTCCAATACTTGAAGACTGCAATCATGTCCCCTCTAAGCCTTCTCTTTCCCAGGCTAAACAGACCCCACTCTTTCAGCCTTTCCTCATAAGACTTGGATTCCAACCCTCTCACCCTCCTGGTTGCCCTCTTCTGGAAACACTCGAGCTTGTCAATATCCTTCCTAAAATGTGGTGCCCAGAACTGGACACAGAACTCCAGGTGAGGCCTGACCATAGCAGGATAGAGCGGAACAACCACCTCCCTTGATCTGGACACAATGCTTCTGTTAATGCATCCTAAGATTGCATTCGCTTTCTACTGGTTTCTTTCCGTACCAAGTCGAGGTGATGTGAAAGACCTCAGCCTGAGACCTTGGAGAGCCGCTCTGGGTACTAACCTTGGTGGACCGATGTTCTGATTCAGTGTAATGCAGCCTCATG